TGATTTAATTAGTCTGTATATGTTTTCTATTGTCACAATGATTCTGCATAACAAACCACGACACTGTTTCCTGTACTTACAGCAGATATTTGCTTTTGCTTTCTTGTCTGTGGATCAGTTGAGAAGTTGTTTTGATCTCAGTTAAGCTTGCCTAAGTTGTCCATCTCTTAAATGAGACACACTTGCCTGTCTACTGTAAGCTAGCTATTTGGTGATCTGTGATAGCCTTACTTCGACAACTGGTTCTGCTCCAAAGAATCTCTCATCCTCCAATCGGCTGCCCCAGGCCTGTTCTTTATGGTGATGGTGGCAGTGTTTCAAGAGAGAGTGAAAGCAAGCAAGAACTCTTGAGTTCTTGAAACAACACACCATGGTTTCCACTACATACTGTTAGCCAAAAAAAGTCATAAGGAAGCTTATTGGAACATAGACTCTCTCTTTTGATGAAGGAGGAATGTGTACATTACAAAAGATATGAATATAGATATAATTAATTGGTGCCATTTTAAAAACAATCTATTATAAAGAACATGATTCACAGGATTTGGGGAAGTTCCAAGAGAATAACAGAATAATGGTCTAAAAGGAATGAAGAATGTAGATAGTCCTGTGCTTTGTTCTATGGATCAGTTCAGTTCAGTTTCATCCTTCCCAGTCTTGCTATTAAAATTTATAAGGCAGCACCAGGGCAATGTTTAGAGCTATTTATACTGTACTACCGAGGTTAGGACCTTCTGAGCCCTCTACCAAATGCTACATGAATGTTGACATTTTCCAGTCTGGCTGTTGGGAACATACATTATTCCTGGCTTCATGAGAGCATCAGATACTGTTTCCTCAAATCCTTTAAGATGGTCCTTTATTTCAGCCTTGGGTAAGTTACCCCACACTCTTAAACTGATCTTGGCTTAGCAAAATACCAAATGGGGCTTGCTTTAGATTTTTGGAGTTCCACTTTGTTCTGCTTTCTCTCTGTTACTTTGCCCTAAGAACTCTAGTCTCTGGTCTCCCCAGACTGTTAGATCCATCTCTTCAATTTGCAGAATCTTCCAGTTTTTTTCTGGGTTCCCCTTTATTGCGCTACAGCAAGGAAACCTTTATTGCACTATAGCAAGAAAACTAAGTTTGTTTCTTCCCTCTCAGTGATTATGGCTCTAATAACCAGTGTCTTTAAAAAAAAAAGTTATTTTGTCTAGTTTTTTGGTGATTTTAGGAAGAAGGATAAATTTAGCCTCTGTCACTCCATTTTGGCTGGAAGTAGAAGTCTTCAAATTCTTAGAATTTAGTGTTAGGAAAAATAAAGGTTTCTAAAGATCACAGACACCCCAACTTTTAGTGAACAACGAGAGTATGGAAAACATCAGATTACATTTATATATATATATATATATATATATATATATATATATATATATATATATAAATCTCTGCTATGTGTTTAATTCATTCTTTTTCACTGTCTTCCTCTCTATTCTTAGGATACTTAACATTTTGTCTCAGTTTAAATACCTATTTATTTATTTATTTTGATACTGAGGATTGAACCCAGGGATGCTCAACCGCTGAGCCACATCTCCAGCCCTGTTTCATATTTTATATTTTAGTTGGAGGCAGCAACTCTCACTGCTGAGCGTCTCACTAAGTTGCTGAGGCTGGCTTTGAACTCATGATCCTCCTGCCTCCGCCTCCCAAGCCACTGGGATTACAGGCATGTGCCACAACTCCTGGCACTTTTTAAAAAATATTTATTATTTTGGGGGTATGTGCATTTTCTTTAAAATGGTAGTATTCACTTTTTAAACTTTAGGGATATACCTTATCCTTTGTATATTTCTTATCATGCAGATAGTATTTTAGAATTAATTATAATGAACTATACATTTCTATAAAAAGAGATTCAAAATCTGAGAATTGATTAAATGTCATTTATAATGTGCTTTGTAGAGCAAAAGTGCAGGACAAGTAATGTTGTCTTTAGTTTTTAGGTTGATGACAATTTTGGTTTCAATTGTCTCCACCAAAATTAGGTGCCATATGTTAGGCTACAATTTCTCATAAGTCCAGCAGCAGCCTGCTTTTAGAAGAATACTCCAAGCTGACATGAAGAATGCTTTCTAAACCTCTCAGAGTCTGCTTTGGCTCTGTGTTTTGTGAGACAGTTTTTCCTTCTCAGCTCATGGACCTTGAAATCATAATTTGCAAGTGCATGTAGTATGCATGGAACATTTTAACAATGCTCAATGAGTGTGATACTTAGAAAAATATTTGTAGAATAAACCTTCCTCTCCAAAGGGAACTCTCAATTAATTGTGTACAATTTATCTACTTTATACATTATCTGTGAATTGTCCTTCAAGGCTGGCTCCTTCCAGTCATCCACTTATGAGCTACTTTTCTTTCTCCCTTCTATTTTTCTATCTCTTCACCCAGCATTTATTTCACAAAATTGTAGGGAGAGAAGATATTATATAACCTTAACATAACTTGAAGTAAATATAATCAGGGAAGAGAAATTATTGCAAAAAAGAGTACTTTTTTCTCAAGTCAGACATGATTACTTAGGGACCATCTGAGCTGTTACTTTACTTGATAGTATGGACAGTCTATTGTGGGCTATATTTATTGTGTCCTTTGCATCGTGAGAGGAATTGATTTTAATGGTTAACCATGAAATTTAATTCAAACATAGCCTTGTTCTACAAATAAAGCAATTTGATGGAAAATAGTGAATTACATTTTTATTTAATTGCTCTTTATTTGTCATTGGTATGATTTCAGATATTTATGCAGCCATTTGTTGATGCTGTTTAATGTCTAATACAGTCTCTTATTTAAAGTCAATATTCCAGTTGGGTATGGTGACGCATTCGCCTTCCTGTAATCCCAGAAGCTCCGGAGGTTAAGGCAGAAGGATCGCAAGTTCAAAGCCAGTCTTAGCAGTTAGCAAAGCTCTAAGCAACTTAGTAAGACCCTGCCTCAAAATAAAAAAAAATAAAAAGGGCTAGGAATGTGACTCAATAGTTAAGCGCCCATGGATTTAATACCTGGTACAATTAAATAAATAAATTTTAAAAATAAAAATAAATTAATGTTCCTTTATATTTTCACTATTTTAATTTGATGAAAACTAAAATATGTCAGACTTTTAGATTTTTCACTAATGTGTATGATTGCCTAAGATTCTTTCATGAAAATCAGTTCCAGGCATTTAGAAATTAAAGTTTTTAAAGTAAGGAATGTCATTGTTTTTTAGTTAGCTGTTAGTCTCTTATGACCAAAATATTGGACAAGAACAACTTAGAGAAGGAAGATTGTATGTGTGGCTCATGATTTCAAAGGTTCATTCAGTATATGGTTTGCTGACTTCATCACTCTGGGCCTGAAGTAAGGCAGAATATCTTGGAAGAAAGATGTGGGGAAAAGGGTACACTTGTACATTGCTGGTGGGACTGCAAATTGGTGCGGCCAATATGGAAAGCAGTATGGAGATTCCTGGGAAAGCTGGGAATGGAACCACCATTTGACCCAGCTATCGCCCCTCTCGGACTATTCCCTGAGGACCTTAAAAGAGCGTACTATAGGGATACTGCCACATCAATGATCATAGCAGCACAATTCACAATAGCTAGACTGTGGAACCAACCTAGATGCCCTTCAATAGATGAATGGATAAAAAAATGTGGCGTTTATATCAATGGAGTATTACGCAGCACTAAAAATGACAAAATCATGGAATTTGCAGGGAAATGGATGGCATTAGAGCAGATTATGCTAAGTGAAGCTAGCCAATCCTTAAAAAACAAATGCCAAATGTCTTCTTTGATTTAAGGAGAGCAACTAAGAACTGAGCAGGGAGGAAGAGCATGAGGAAAAGATTAACATTAAACAGAGACGAGTGGTGGGAGGGAAAGGGAGAGAGAAGGGAAATTGCATGGAAATGAAGGGAGACCCTCGATGTTATACAAAATCACATACAAGAGGTTGTGAGGGGAAAGGGGGGGAAAACAAGGGAGAGAACTGAACAATAACAGATGGGGTAGAGAGGGATGATGGGAGGGGAGGTGAGGGGGGATAGTAGGGAATAGGAAAGGTAGCAGAATACAACAGTTACTAAAATGGCATTATGTAAAAATGTGAATATGTAACTGATGTGATTCTGCAATTTGTATTTGGGGTAAAAATGGGAGTGCATAACTCACTTGAATCAAATGTATGAAAGATGATATGTTATGAGCTTTGTAATGTTTTGAACAACCAATAAAAAAAAAAAAAAGAAAGGTGTAGCGGAGGAATGCTGCTCAGATCCTGGCAGCCAGGCCCAAAGGCAGGGAGGAGAGCCAGGGACAAAATACAATCCCCAAGGGCACAAACCCAGTGACCTAGTCCTCTACCTGCATACAATTACTAGCCTGTAGTCCATTCAAACTATCAATCCATCAAATAGTTTAATCCACTGATGAGGCTGCTACTCTTGTAATCTAATCATTTCACCTTTGAAAATCCCTGCAGGGCCTAACATGTTAGATTTTTAGGGGACACCTCATATCCAAACCATAATATACATGTAGATGTTACCATTATTATTTTGTGCAGAAGAACTTATAAATAAAGGTCTTAAACATATATAAAACTCTAAAAGGTATATGACATATTACAGAATAATTATTTGTAATAAAACTGAACAAAGACCTTCTCTAAGTATAGTTATGTACTCTTAAATTAAAAACAAGTATTAAGTAGTAATAAAATCTACTCTTCTTTAAGTATTTTAACTCTATTTATAGATTGGATCATATTTTGAAATATAAGATTTTGATTCATAGTTTCAAGTATATACTTTTTTGCTATGTATTTTAATACTTTTGAGTTCAGCTGAGTAGCTACAGCAGATTAATAAAGGTTTCTTTGATGGACTTATGTGTTTTCATCCTTTGAAATTTTGTAGAAATCTACAAAAAAAAAGTTACATAACCAATTAAATTTTTAAACTACCTTTTCAGAATACAAATGCCAGTTTGAACATGAGGAAAAGAACAAATGCCTTGGTCCACTCGGAATCTGATGTTGGCAACAGAACTGAGGTGGGAAATCATCCTAGCAAATCTTCTCCAGTTGTTCAAGAATCCTCTGAAGCCACATCTAAGTCATACTTAGCTTCCAGTCCAAACCCTTTCAGCCGGGCAAATGCAGCCGAAACGATATCTGCTGCAAGAGCACTTCCATCTGCTCCTTCTCCTACTCCTGGGGGTGTGTTGAGACAAACATCAGTTGGATCTGCTTCTACTCGTCGTGTGTTTGGCTCAAGACTGGAGCGAATTAAGACCACAGTTAACACCCCAGGGGCTTCTGGGAAGTCATCAGCCTCTGCTCCTCCTCCTGCTCCTCCACCTGCTGGATCTGGCACAAGTAAAATAGACAAATATGCCCGTATTCTCTTTCCAGTCACATTTGGGGCATTTAACATGGTTTATTGGGTTGTTTACTTATCTAAGGACACTATGGAGAAATCAGAAAGTCTAATGTAATTTTGTTGCTATAGTAGTTTCCTAAAAGATGATGAAAATGCAGACTATCTTTTTCAATGTTTTTAAATATAATTATTCTTTACTAAAATAAAAATTCTATGTAATTTTTCCACTTAAAAAAATATAAGCCGGTTATTGGGAGAGTTAATTAATTCCTCAGTGAAGAAAAAGTGAACCATTTTTCTTTTCAGAAAGAGGGTTTAAAAAGGATCTATTCAGCATTCAAATTAGATGGAATACAGACCATCCTGGAAAGTTGAAACAAGAGTAATAGGGCTATTAAAGATATGTGGTGCACATTTTTGCATTGAAATTTGAAAACAGACTATGACACTTTTAATACCCAATGAATATCAACCAGCCACCCTAAATTTCCCAGTGGCACTGCCCTTAACCAGAATCATTTATTTGATGTCATATGCAGTGACCTTTGGAGATTCTCTTAGAACCCACAAGAAAAGGATTTTCCCTATTAAACAAAACATCGGTGAAAGGAAAACGGAAGAAAACAAACACTGATCAATAGAGTGAAAATTCTGCAGTGTCAAAAACAAAGACATAGACCAGGGGAAATGTGTTTCCTTTCATAAGTTGGCCAAACAGTACTTAAAGGTTGACTTGAAATTTTGTGCTCTGAGCCAAAGTTTCACTCCTTGTATGAATTCTTTTTCGCAGTAGCTCATTCAGGTGTGTACTGTATTTACTCCCTGCATACTTATTCAGAGCCTAAAGCCTCTTGTGTTCCAGGCACTCTCCTAGACACTGTGTCCTAGGAAAGCTCTGTCACAGTTACCTACAATATTATTAAAATAGTAGAACAGTCAATGCATGCTGAAGAACTATAGCCTAGCAGAGGACTTTGCATTCTTTAATGAAGGAAATATAGTTAGAGTCAACATCATATCCACAATATTGTTTCTCCTCCATTGATAGAGGATAACAGGTATATTTGTTCACTTAGCTACTTTGAGATAAGTCAATGTTAGTACGATTTCAGCAACTGGTTTTCAAAATACAATGAAAATTTGGTACAGATTGTTCTGTAAGTGACAAAAAGCACCATGTATCTGGAAAATAAAAATCTGGGCCTGTAAGATCTGATAGATTATGTGTCTCAAATTTGATAAGGATCACTGAATTTGATCAGAATCACAAAATATTCAGAAATAAGAACTTTTTAGATGTTTTTCCCAACATGGATCTATCTTAGCTGCTGAAATGCCAACCTTCGGACATTTTTTTGTGTCCATAGTTCTGTACTTTCAGGTAGATTTTGTATTTGTTTTATGAGAGTTTCTGGTAAGGTTTAATAACTAAGGTGAGTATTTTACAATGAAAGCAAGCAAAGGAAAGAAATGAAGAAAAAATTTATAGCCACTGACTCTGTTATGTAATTCAACAGGATTTTCACGTACTGACTTTTCTTTTATTACAAAGCTTAACAACTTAATTGAATTTCTTGCACCGTCTTATGCAGCTCAATTTAGGTCTATTGGGTTGATTTGGTTGTTGTGTTACTTCCAGATTTTTCTTCTATATCTCTTTCTACCTGCTCTAGGTGTGTGTGAATGAAAGTGTTCTTAGTGTTTGGGGGAACGTTTTGATAGAATGGCCACCTTGCAGATAAGAGCTCTTATTTTTTTAGAAAAGAAACTATATAAATTAATTGGCATCAACTTTTTAGTTATTGTATTGCCTTGTAATAGTTGTATATGAACCCTGTAAAATGTCACAAATATTAATTGTAAATCATATTTGAGAATCCTTCTTAGACAAGAATCTATCTCTAGGTATTTCATAGAATCAGTACATTTTAAGGCTGAAAGATGCTTTAGAAATCATCCAGTCCAAATCCCTCATTCACAAATTGATTTTAGTAAAATGAGGCCCAGTAAAATCTGTATATATGTATATATTTAATAAAGAGTACTTGTACCAAAAAGCTTATAAATTATTTTATGAATGTGAAAAGATTACTGGCCTTGAGGTCAGTGCTTGGAATTGTGGTTTGAAACTCTGATCATTTAGTATTCAGACAAAATGACTTTATTTCTTTGGTAAGGAAAACTTACTCTGCTTTTCTATTCATGTATTCTTAAGAAATATTTTACCGACTTCCTTTTTTAAAAAAGAAAATTCCTCTTTAAATTTTGTAGGTTTTAAGGGGATAAAAAGTAAATGACTTTAAATTTATAGATCATAGATCCAGGTGAACTTACTGGGGTTTTGGGTTTTGTTTGTTTGTTTGTTTGTTTGTTTGTTTGGTTTTGGTTTTGTTTTTTGACTCTGGTATACGAAGATTTAAAAATAAATTGGTGGCCAAACCCTGAAAGGACAAACTTAGCCCAGGATTCTTAATTGTTTATTCAAATAAATTCACCAGAAAGCCTACTCATTAGTACAGAAAGGAATTATTTCACTTTCATGCAGTGTTAATAATAATGTGTGTTTTATTTTCTCAAACTAAAGTCCATCAAATTCATCCAATGATTTTTCACTTTTGTCATCATTTCTGTCTGCTTAATAACTCAGAGGTACACATTCAGTAAAACACTCCGGTGACGAGCCAATGACTCTTCACCCATTAGAAAATCTCATGAGAATACTTAGGGGATCCCAAACTCCTTGTAATTTGTAAAAAAAAAAAAAAAAAAAAAAAAGAATAGTAGTTCTGGTTGAGAATGTGAGAATGGAGCTTTTGTATACCCGTCTTTTAAAGGTGAAATTCATAATCATTTCATTTTGTACTAGTAGAGTATCTGTATCCAGTTTTCAAATCTGAGTTGTCCACTAACTGCTACATAATCATTTCATTTCCTCCAAGCATGACTAGTCATACACATATATTTACATGATTAACCCACAGTTAAAAATGACTTTCATTTGTGCATATAACATAGTCCTTAGAAAACGTGCATTTTAGGTTGGGCCTGACAAATCTTGAATTAAAGTAGGCAGAGTAGAGTCACCTTCTTTAATAGATGAGATGAGTCACAGAGAAGTTAGAGACAAAGATAAAAGCAAAAGGCTGAAATGAACTGTTGAAGGGTCATTTTTCAATCACCTCACCTTAGCAATAATTTTGTCTCAGGCAATACTAAAAGCAAAAATTTGTTAGTGCTAATTCTGTATGAGGGGCAAAAACTCCACTCTCCACTCCCGTTTTCCAATGATTCCTTCTTCTAGATTTGTGAACCATCTCTAGGAGAAAAGCACTGAAGAGATAGGTCACTTGATTTTAATTCTGAGTGTATTGTGGTTTTAGACAATTAAACCACTCTAGAACTGATTTCTTATTTATAACAGGAAGGGGATGGATTAAATGGTACCTGAGTTTTGAAAGTGCTTAATATTCTTTCATAGTAAATACCTGCATATCCTTGCAATACATGCATTCAATATTTTGAGTCACAAATAGATGAATATTGGAAAAAAGTTTCTATTTAATAGCGTTAAACTCTGACTTACATCAAACTAAGGTATCCTCCTCATCAAAAAAGATTCTTTCTCTCTCTCTTTTTATTTTATTTTTTTTTGTAACAGTGATTAAATCCAGGGGCTCTTAATCACTGAGCCACATTCACAGTCGTTTTTATTTTTTATTTTGAGACAGGTTCTCACTAAGTTGCTTAGAGCCTTGCTAAATTGCTGAAGCTTGCTTTGAACTTGCTTATCCTCCTGCCTCAGCCTCATAATCTGCTGAGATTACAGGGTATACACCACCATGTCCAGAAAGATGAGAATTATTATTGGAAAGACCTGGCAGGGCTGGATTAGGAAGAATTGAAAGGTCATTTTTCAATCACCTCACCTTAGCAATAAGGTGAAACTTGCTAAAAGTTAGACTAGACTCAGATTGTTGGGACAATTTGTTAAAAATCTTGTAGGATTTTAAGATAAAACTAACATGTTTGTGTTTGTATTTTAGAGAAATTATCTGATTTCTCTGTGGATGGGAGAGTCGTAAGTCTAAAGTAGTAGATCAACTGAAATCTTTCATTTTTCCTTTTAATCTCTGCCTTTCCTTTCAGTTTCTTTTTAACTCAGTGAATTCATTGTATTTTGTAAAATGAAACATGATTACTAGAAATAAAGGCATTCAAAATTTTAAAACAATTTCAAATTTCTACTACCCAGAAATTAACATTTTGTGAATATCGTGTTATACTTTTGTATGGATATGTTTGTATAGAAGAGTAGATTAATTAAAAGACAATTTCACAAAATATAAGACCCAGATATGATCTATGCTATATGTGCTGTTGGTTAACTAATAACTAACTTGAATTTATCTCAATTTAAGATAAAAATACCAAGGTAAAACTGAAGAAATCATTGATGTTTAGGTAATTTTCTTCAAAACAAGACATTTTAAGGGCTCTATGCTTTTTAATCTCAGGTTTCAATCATTATTTTGGGAAACTTTTCTCCTTTTATATGTCTAAACAAGTTTTTTTTCTTTAAGAATACCAATTATGTAAAATTTATTTTACCTCTATAACTATTCATAATATGCTCTATAATTATTTTTATGTTTAGATTTTTTTGTCAGAAATATCCAAATGATTTTTCAGTTCTTTTTATTTTATAACTTCAAATGTAATTTAAACATCATAATTTTTTATTCCATGTATTCTTTTGCTGTACCATTCCATTTTTTATCATTTCTGCTGTTTATTTTCCCTTTGTTGAAGACACTATATCTTCTTTGAACTTCTAACTCTCTCTTAGTGGGATCAATCTTTACCTCTGCCTTTTTTCTGCACTGGTTTCTTTCTATTAATCACTGAACAAAGTCAGCTATTTACTGAACTCTAGTGTGGGAAGTAGTGGGAGGGTGAGTCAGATCAGCCCACAGAAGCTATTTTAATTTCAGATGTCAAGCCCACCTCCCCAAATCTGTTTTATCTTCTTCCCAGAGGCCGTATTTTTTCTCTATTTTTGACATCGAGAGGTCTCTGTAGTTCACAGTGTAAATCTCTCAGTTTTACTTTCCCTACGTCTTTATTGCTGGTGGTTACTGTTCCTTCTCTCTCATTTCCCCACTTTAATCTGTATGATCCAGCAGACACTATCATATGTAGGCTAT